TTTTTCTCTTAATCCAAATTATTACTGCATCATATTTAGAAAGAGCACTCAACAAACGTCAATGTCTTGCGAGGATATGCTTCCCTTGGATATATGTGTCCTTCAAGAGCGTGTCTTAAAAGAGCTTAGAAGTAGAATTCAAGACTGTTTTATGAACATACTTAAATTTTGATTTTTCACGTGAATACATACAGTAGAAATATAAAATTGTACATGTTGTCTAGATACCTCTCCAGCATTCATGTACCAGCGGAACATTAACTTGTCTTTTACTATCATAATTTTAGACAATGGAAATCGAAAGGTAGCATTTGCTGGAAATGTTACAGCTGTTGAACTACTAAGGGAAGTTCTGTGGAACAGAGACCGTGAGCCAACCATTTAATCTGTAAAATGCTATGTTTCTAGTCTTGTCTTTGAAGTAGTAAGCTCATGATAAACTCATTCTTTGGGGATGCTTTGTTATCTTTTTCCTGTAAATGATGGATGATTCTAAGGTCACTGAAAACTTAACAAGGTCAAATCGCAGATGAAGAAACAAACCAGAACTGAAAACTGAAAGTTAACTGCTGTTGAATAACAGAGATGCTATATTACTTCACTTTTAGTCTTCTCTTAATTATTAACAAACTGGTAAGGGGTCGCAACGCACATTTTATTTGAGTGTGCAAATAAGGGTATGTTGACATTGTAACATGAAAAGACAGTTATTCGACAAAAAAAAATGCTGGCCTGATGGGAAAAGGATAATACAGTTTTGGCTTCCTCTAATGACTGTAGTTAAATATTACCAATCAGGTAAATAGTACAGTTATTACCTTATAATTTGAAAATGGAATATCAGGTAAATAGTATAGTAATATTACCTTAATTTGAAAATGGAATTTGACAATACAGGGGAAACCAAATAGAATGTGTTGCAGAGACTGAGAAATTCAATCAGTTTAGGCCGATACAATGTTGTCAGACCTCAGCAGATGTGCAAGATGATTTATTTTGATATTTCTAACAGCCTTTGCTAAGACTGTCATCCATTATCCGATTATATTTTTCTAACAGTGTCTGTTCTACTGTCTTAAAGAACACTTCTCTTAAGATATTTTCGTCTGTTTCAGAGGTGTAGATTTGTAACAGCACTCACGTATGTCATTGAATCTGCGTCTGAAGCATCCAGGATGTAGCCCATTTATGAACATTAAAATGGCCGTTTCATGCGAGACCAAAGATAGATATAGCTAATATCCTGCCTCCAACACCGGCTAATAGCGCCTGCTATAGTAGTAAGAGCAAAGATTAAGGCAAGAAGCTATTAATGTTTCCCCAGAATGCTTCCCCAGCCTGCAACAATGTGAAACTTCTGAGCCAGATGTTGTCTTTGTATGTTTCTTACGAAAATCTTTCATTTACTTTTTGTAAGTAGATAAACTCTTAGTTTAAACAACATCACAGCATAATCACAACTTGGGTTAAGTGCTTCCTTTTGTTTTAAACTTGCTGCTCACTATTTTCATCTGATGTTCAATCATTCTCCACCACCTCCAAGCCACTCAGGATGTTAAAGACTACATTTATATACTCAATCACGTTTTCCAGGCTGAAAAGTTCTGATCTATTTTGTTGTTTGTGTAATCTATATACTTGATCATCCTTCCCCCCCGCCTCTTTATTGCATTCATGTCAAGTATGAATATCATTTTCTAGGATACAGCAGACTTATGGCTCGCATTCTGGGTAGTCAATCTGCATTTATTCAGTGGCCACTTGTCTGGGATTTACAAACCTCCAGCATTTGTCTAAAACTGCTCCTCTTTTCTGCCTAGGAATATTGTTAATGGAGCTACTGTCCCACTTGGTTTGCTGTAGGTCTGGAACTTCTGGACAAGTTCAAAATGTTCAGATTCTGCCGGGACATGTTACCAGGAAACTTGGAATAAGATGCCCCATCCAGTAGCGATGTGGTAGTTCTGTTAGTATGTATGGCCACTGTCTACACTGTATCTGTTCTCTCATGTCGTTTCTTTTACTAGTGACCCCATCTGAAGCTGCTTCTACTGGCCAAATGTTCTTTACCAACACTCCTGAAAAATAGTTAGTATGCTGAAACCAATGCTTTCCATTTCTCAAAATATTCAGCAGACTTCACTAACCAAAAATTGACTTAGAACCTGGCGGTGTTCCGGCATGCTGCCGGTGCTTGTCCAGGAGGCTTTTTCACAGATCTCAGTGAGCCGCTTGCCACTGCAGACTGGTTGACTGCCAGCTGGTGAGAGTACAGGACAGGATAACAAAGCTCCACACAAGTGAAGTGAGTGCCTGGAAGGTGATGTGTTGATGCTGAAGATTGGGTATTAACTCCAGACACAGATCTTCAAAAGCTCTGTCTTTCTGAGAACATGGTAATTTCTGCTGGTCATCCAAGCTGCAGTTACTGCATTTTCAGGTAGAGCTTTTGAAGACTTCTGTCTGGAGTTAACAACCAATCCTCAGCATCGACGCATAGTCCCACCTGTTGATGCTAATCCCTCCCGCTCAAAACCCCTCCTTTATGCAGGAAGATCAGTCTCAGTTGCAACTAAAGCTGGCCTCCATTTATGTCATGTGGTCCTGCGGATATTAGTTTCTCGTTGCTATCCTGCGACAATAGTAACACCAGCTCTTGCCAGGCACCTTCTGTGCGCAAGCATGCACCGGTCTCATCTGCTGCTTTTCTACGGAGTAACCACAGCCCACTGCTGGGCATCTGCAGCGCAGGCAGAGAAGCTGTAAAGGAAGACGTAACAGGCAGCATGGTCTCAATAGAAAGGGAAGGATTAGCAAGGAAGAACCTACAGAGTGTTTCTTTTACATAATGGATCCTTAAATGGTGACAAATATCTGTGTAAGGCAAATGGCTCTTCAGTGTAGTGTGTGTGTTAGGGAGCACCATGCTGTGTGGGGATTGTGTGGTGACTACCGTTTTCATAGGGGATGGAGATGGTTCCCTCAACACATCCCTCCAGATTCCAGTTATCCTCAATGAAGGCCTGAGCAATTCAGCAGTAACCAGGTTGGTTTGTGTCATAGCACAGACCAAAATGGCAGCACGGATGCACACAGAGGGGTCTTAAAAGGTGAGTAAAAGCCCTGCTCAGGACTCGAGGTGAGGGCAGAACTCCAAATGTTGGGAGTGAAGTCAGCTGAGCGTTGATGGAGGCTAGAGCTCCTTGGAAGGAAGAAGTTGAGGCTTAATGTACAATAACTTGACCATTGCAGGGAATATGTCATCACTGACCTGTTAAGTGATCTTGGGTGCTTTTCTGTTTGTGCTACAGACTGAATAATGATGAAGCTGGAGTATAAATAATTTTAGGATGTCTTGTGAGAGAAGTGAAAGACCTTTAAAATATATGTATTTTAGTTCCATATGTTGGGAAGTGAAGACACGGAGATGATGAATGAGTGAAATGTAAAAGCTGAATTTTCATGTGTCACTCCAGGGTTTACAATTTCAATTAGTTCTTATAATTCCATATATTATAGGATGTTGTCTCCTTGGGTAAATTTAATTACTAGATCCACGTTTTAGTTTGTTAATGGAGAATTTTAAAAAATCCTCCATTCTAATATGTTCATTCACTGGGAATCCTAATTTGCTAGACTTACAATTTATAACACTATCGCTTTGTTTGGCAGTACATTGTACTAAGAGGAAGATCTGACACACACTTTAAGTGGCTTTTACAACTGCCTGACCTTATCTACACCACCAACAGTAGTGTAGAAAAGGCCAAGAATCTTGGATTCTGCCTTTGCCGTGTCTCTGGGGAAACTATGGCAGTTTTGGTTAGAGATAAGTAAGATACCTGAAGCATAATAATTCTGAAACGTAGTGGGGCCAAATAGCTAATCCTTGAGCTAATTAAAAAATGCTGGCATAGCAAGACGAGTACTGGCAAACTCTCTGAGCATACACAATTTATGCAAACAAAATTTATGCACAACAGGTTATACCAATTCTCTGAATGAAATAAGCTGTACTGAAAAAACAGTTTTTGCTAGTGGAGTAACAGCGTTGGAATAAATTTGTCTACATTGTACATAACATAAAGATGCTTATGAAAATTAGTAAATTAAGTCTTCCTGAACATCAATTTAAAACAAATATCAAGGTAGTAAGATACACATCCAAACCCCACTAGATGGGAATCAACAGTAGGTCAGTTATATTAAAATCATAAATTCAAGCACACTAAGCTATAGAAATAGGATTTGAATATTGTGGTGAAGACAAAAAGGTAGCACATAATGCATGTTTTAACATGTCATTAAATTAAATCATAGTTTTTAACCAAGGTTGGCTTTTTTTCTGACTGACAAAAAGGCATATTTCTGATTACAGGGAGGAAATCTGATAATAACAGAATGACAGGACCCCAGAAAATATCACGACTGTCATTTAGAACTTGTCTTGACAGGGGGTTATACTGGAAATGGATTAGGTCAATTTGGCATACAGCATTTATATCAGAATAAACATGCCCCAATGGAGCTAATAAGCAATAGTCTTTGCATTTTAAATAATTTCTTGCTTAAATTCAAACATTGTGTTTCAAAGCCTTCAGGTTATTTTGGGGCTGTACATTATATTATTTTGCCTCATAATCAATCCTATTTCATTTTATCAGGACTGCAATGTGAAAAATAATGAGTAACTAAGTACAGTGCTCTTAACGTTCTTAATCCGTGTTACTTAAACCAACTTGATTTAAACCTTATAATCTTTTGTTCAGCTTTGGGGTTTAATTTAAAAGTCTCTCAAAACACAAAAGGATTTCCTCTGAATTTCCAGTTGCATTGACTCATTCTTCTTGGTAAGGTAGTTATAAATAGTTTTCTTATGAGCTTTGATGTATTTCTTTGTTCGGTCAGATGTTTGTCCAGACGTTTCTGACAGTTCTTTTTTTATCTCTTGATTTTTTAATTTTTATTTTGTGTTTGTCAAGGCTGACCACTGTTTGTTATTAGGCTGAACTGATTTCTTCTTCATCTTCCTCAGAGTCGGTGTCATCATTGTAGAAGTGAATTGTAGCTTGTACTGGAAAACTCGCCAGAACCTTCTCTCCGATGTTGTTAAGAAATTTTTGGGATTTGGACTTGGGCAAATAAAGTCTAATAAGAAAACATATTTTAAGAGAAAAAGTAAAACTATGCGACACTTTCCCAGCTAAGCTAGCTTGAGTATTAAAACCTATTTTTATCTTTCTTTGGAGAGAGAAAAATCCTAGGGTTCCTTGTCTTTTAAAAGAGAAGTTGCTAACTAAAAAGTACTGGTGATTTTAAGTTACCTCAGTTGCTTTGGGCATATTGTGTATTGGATTTATCTAAGGTCCCATCCTGATAAGGTGTTGCCTGGGCAATGATGCATGCCTGAGATGTTTTGGTTTGGTTTGGTTTTTAGCACAGTTCGGAATGGAAGTGTCCCATGAGACTGGGGGAAGTTTGAGGAATGTTCTGGGATTCTGGAATTCAGATTAAGACACTAGACTAAGATTGGGTGGGTTGGCCTGTTGCACAGAGGTTGATCTTAGTGGGTTTTGTGTCTCCAGGTGGAGGAGGAGGAGGTGTACACTGAGAGAGATTTATTTCAAAATTCATATTGTCTTGTATTGAAATCATAAATGTCTTAATTTACATTTCAGGTTTCCATCAGCTTTCCCACTAAAGCAAAACTTATGTGGTCTGTATACATATGTATGTGTTTTTGTGTGCATATGTATGCACATCTCTTCCTCTTCGTTCCACTTTGGCCAGTTTTCAATTAAATTTGACAGTGATAAAGGTGACACAGAATTTAAGGTTCTACAACTTCTATAAAAACAAGTGCTTGTAAAGAAGAGGGATATTCCATTAATTTTCCTCCTCTAAACGGAAGTCCAAATCAGGAGTTTCTACATCATTAAGCCTTAAAGAATCCAAATGTTGGTGAAAACCCTTATAAATCCCCCAAGCATGGGAAAAACTTTACCTGGAGTTCAACTTCTATTCAAGAGCAAATTTAAGCAAACTCGACAGATCTGTAACAAGTCACATTCCATTAGCAGCTGTTCACGTTAATTATTTGGGCTTTGTGAGCTTCTTATCATATTAATACATGTAAACATAAATTAGATGAGGCAGAAGAACATTGTTTCTTTTAAGATTACTTTTTTCTTATTTTCGTTATTGGCATATTGTTTCAGGTTCTGTTCAGCCTGGGCATCTTTCCTCGTGGAGGGCTAAAAATCTATGGAGCCTGGTGAGTAGTTAAACCACATTACTAGAAAGAGATACTCCAGAGACAAACTGATACTTCTCCCGAGAAGGAATATGTCTTGTCTTGGAAGGTGTCACTTTTCCTGTATCAAGTGATAGGATTTAACTCACCTCACTGGATGTTGAAAGCCCAGGGCTCCTTTTGATCTAAAATTTATTAGTTGACCATCCAGTTCTGACTGTAAAGAGACATATTTATTATTTAGAATAGGCTAAAAATGAAGATTTCACTTTTTTCTTCTACAGGTAACTGTAAAATTCTACAGTAATGTTTCTTTGTTTGCTGTGCTGCATGTTGTTTTACTCTGACTAAGTGTACTTCAGAGAATATATGTGCCCATAGTCTGCCAATAGTTGCACATTTAACAAAGCATTTGAACTTGTACATTTTTTCAGCCATAAAGCCATGAAGTTGTACATTTTGCTGAAGTTCTTATGGAATATCTATAGCGACTGGTGAGCTAATAACACCACCAAATGGAAGTTCAGTGATTGGAAGAAAAAAGGATATTCAATCACTTTAAAGGATTGGGAGGTTAGGGTTTTATAAAATACCTCTTTAACTACACTAACCAGTGGTTTGGAGTTGGAATGTTCAAGTCAGCAAGCTTAGTTGTAATCAGAGATCACACAAGCACATTAAAAAGTCCAAACAGTAAAACTGAGAGGCAACTGGCGTCTCATATTTCTATGCAAACAGTGATAAAAAAGCAAGCATTTTGAAACAACAGAGTAGGTAGCAAAAATATATTTTAGATATCAAAATTAAATTTAGCACAGAATAAATTCCTTCACATTAAGGTGACAATAAAAAACAATAATTGGCAAATGTTAACATTCCTAAATCCTATTAGGATTATAAACCTGGAATGTAAATCTGAAAGCATCTCCCAAAGTCACTGGGCCCTATCACTTCATCTTGTAGACACGTATTCTCTTCCATATCTTAAAACAAGAAGACTTCTTTTTTCCTCCTATTGCTATAAACTTCATGGTGCATAAAATAGGAAGAATTAGCTTTGCTATCCTAGAACTTCTAGTGAACAGAAGCTAGAAACGGTCTACTCTGCTACAAGTCAGACAAAGGTGACTTTTGCCACTGTCAGAGCAATTCATCTGTCTTTCTGAGGAAGGAGGTTTCAGCATGGATATTTTGGTGGGCCCCAAAAAGCCTTTGGGCTACGGACTGAGCAAGGAGTCCTATAGACTTCTCTCTGTACCTTTTATGTTGGCCTATTTCTCTCGTACCCACCTGTTTGTCTTGTAGTCAAAATTATTTGTCTTCAGGCTGTTAGGGTTTTGTTGAGGTTTTTTTGTGTTTAAAAAAATCAGGAGAGTCATTTACTTTGTTTCCACAGTACCTAGTAAAATGGACTCCTGATCGGGCTGAACATTGTAGATGTGATCATAATATCTATGTTAAATACCATATGTTATTTTTCTCCTTTCATAGTTACATTAAAATTAAAATAGCCTTTTTTATCTTTATTCACCTGTATTTTCTACTGTCTTCTTTCTGGAATACATATTGGTTTTTAATAATTATATATGTAAGAATACATATTGATTAAATCCACATTATATGCTTTTTCTTTTCAGACTGTAATACAAAATTTCTGAAAAGCAATTCTGATAAAAGCCAATTAATTGCAAAATCTAACTCAGTTGTTTGTATACAGCAGAAAATGTTCAGTGCTAATTTGTATTATGTTGTAGATATGGCAATAGTAACTTCAAATTATTTTTCATGGCTTTTCTTCGGATATAAATAACAACATATTTGAATTTAGGTAGTAGGAAAAGTGTTACTTTTTATATAAAGAAAAGTACATTATGTATAGGTAACTATAGGGTATATTGTAACACATGTTCTTGGCAATAGAGGTAAAATTATTAATTTACATTTTTTTACCAGTACTTTTATTTGTTAGTGCTTTGCTCTGCATCTTTCAGTTTCTCAGGTTAAATTCTTATATGTATATTCCTAAACTTTTTTTTTTTAATTACACAGAGGATAGTGAAACTTTTATTCTCTTCACTCTCCGGTGTTTGGAGTGTCTACCGATCTGTGAAGCATTGGCTTCAATGTATGCATACATTGCAGAAAATAAAAGTAGCCAGCATACAAATAACTAGCAAAAACATTGTGCTCAACCCATCTTGGAAGGTCTTCTGCTAGAAACCTCAGTAACTTTGCTGAAGAAGATACCTCGTCTTCCACAGCTGTGGCATGTAGGTATGCATTAGTGAGCACCTCTTCCCACCTATGCACCACACAAAGAATCCAAGCATCTTTCCTCAGTCATTGTGACCCTGTTAAAAAGCATATGAAAGGGCTCCTAAAGCCCTCCTTCAGCCCTCATTAGGTCCCAAGCTACAGAGGCATCTAGGATGCTGAAGCAGTGTGGACAGGCCATAAGGTATGGATGAGAAGGATCTGAGAAGCTTCTGGCAGGAAGGAGAAATGTTCAAAAATTGAAACCAACTGTTTCAATTACACTTGGCTTGAAACAGTGCCAGGCTGTTAGCATGAATGTGGAAAACTTCGTATATCGTTTGTTTTTCTCACACAAGTGGGCAGAAGCCCAAGCGTGAATTCAAACTTTTGAGCTGGTTGAATAAAATTTTTATATAAAAACATAACCTCAGTAATAAATCACAACTTCCTGATTTCAGAAACCTTACTTTCTTGAAATCATCACTGTAAGCATGTACTCTCATGAGAGTAAGACTCCTCTCATCCTTAGCGAATTTATAGGTGCCTCTGGCAAAGCTTGGAACACTGCTGGGAAGGACGTTCTTCCGCAGGCTTTCCCAAGGCGCCTGCCAAGAGGAGTGTGGCACTCCCTCAGATCTGTACAGTTACAACCTCCATCTTCAGCAGACAAAAAGTACAAGGTAAAAAGGTGTTGCATGTGTTAGAATATAGTAGAAATTGCGAGCCTTTAAAGACTTGCACTAAGGAGAGTTTTTGTCTTAACCTGCTGAGCCTTTGGTAAAAAGTTGAAGATGTAACTGTGGATCAGATGCTGCAAAAACTTATGCAGGTGCTTAAAACTAAGCATGGGAGTAGCACCATTTCAATACATTTTTTAAAGTTCACAGCGTTGGGACCTGTGTTGAATGTGCTTCAATCTCTCTTTATTTTTGTTCTTTGAGCCTAACCAATCTTCCTACATGAGTAAGTAAAACTAATAATCACGGTGCCTTTCAAAGGCACTTGGCAGTAAGAGCTACTTTAAAATCCATTTTTCTGTTGATTTCCTAGCTGGTTTAGCTATAGCAACATCCCTCCCAAAAAACAATCAATAAAATTGTGCACCTGAAAGTATGTTTTTTAAATTTCATCTTAGAGTCATTTTCACTCAAACTCTCCCTATATACAAAATATCACATACAGACTAGGCCTGGAAATTTCAAACTGAGGATATTCTTGTTTTTATAATTAAGCAAATAAAAACTGCTGTTAAAATAAGGGTTGTTTTGAGTAAGCAGTGCTTTCTGCAGCTCTTTAAGAACTGATAATGATTCTGTATCTGATACAAAATTAGAGACACTTTTAACCATTATCATGTACAGAACACTGTAATTTGAACCATATTTTCTAACACTGAAGAAATGCTTGAAAGAACAAATGAATAGATGACCAAGCCTCACTTCCTGTGTTCAAATAGTTTCAATTTCTGCACCTGTTTTCTATAAGGATTATTTTCTCCAGAATTTAGTCTCACCATTTGGTGATTCTCTGTCATCTCACCGTCTCTTGCTGTGAGCATCCAGGGCCTCCATAAAGCAGGGCTGCTGAAAGATTAAGATAGAATAGCGCTCCCACAGTTAATTCTTTGTGGTAATACCCGTACAGTACAGCTCCTCTTGTTAGATTCTGCTGGTATCTTTTGAAATAACATGATTTTTTTCTTTTTGACACATTTTGATTTGGTAAATCTGATTTCTATAGCAATATTAATCTGTCTTCTGTCTCCGATCTGATTAAACAAACTAGACAATGGCTCACACATTTTTAACTAAGGTGTAATTTCCCTTTAAGATTTCACAACTCAAAGTGACTGCATTGAACTTCAAATGATGATGTAATTAATACTGAAATCTTTTTATTTACGCAGCACTGCCACAAAATAAAAAGTAACCCTCCCTCTCGGACAGCATGTCTAAATACAGATTCCATGTCGTCATTGAGTGGCTGGTTATTTATTGAGTAAGCAACTCCAGCATTAAGCTGACATGGGCAATCTGATCTAATTAGGTCAAGAGAGCATATGCAGTGGTGGATGCTGCATCTGCCTTTTGTTTGGTGCGGGGGACTGCCATTATGGATGCTCTTTTTAACAGTGCTTTCCATCTCTGCTGCTGTGTAACAGATCCATACAGTTGGGGAAATGGAAAAGTACTTTCAGATATGAAAGGCAAATAAACTTAAAAAACCCAGTAAATCAGTTACCACAACCTTAATTTTCATTTACTTCCATTTATGAATAAGTTCTGAAATATTTGGCTGAAAAGGATAAAATATTGGCAAAGCAAATAAAATACCTGTTCCAAGTGAAACGTTTTCGGAAACATATTTTGCCCTTTACTTCTGAAGTTGGGAATTGTTTTCTGTTGTCTATTCAATGCCGAAATCGTTACATTCAAAGGATACTTACAGTCAGAGTTTTGAAAGGAAGGCTGCTGAAAAAAGTCTCCCTGCGCCTGCCTTACCTCTCTGGGCGCTCCCTCGGCCCGGGCGGGTGATGCTGCTGCCGCCGCTGCCGCCGGGCGCCCCCGGAGCCGTGACAGATGCGACCCGCTGCAGCCTGGAGTGGGAGACCTGCAGCTGTACCCTCCATGGCATTTGATGGTCTAAAGCCTATGGCAGGCTGGGCGCTTGCCTGGGCCTTTCAGCCCCTCCTTTATCTTAACTCCCAAAGAATACTTACCTAAAACAAACACGGCCTCAGGTAAAAGGAGAGAAAGGTCCTTAATGAGATTTCTTTTGACTCCCCCAAACAGTTCACAGATAGGGCTCTCAGGTTGGCAGGCTGTCCTGGGGAGAGCACTGCTAGGGAAACAGAGGCTTTTTGTTAAGTTTGGTTAGGAAATCACATGGAAAATAATCCGCGCTTTTTATCTTTCTGTCGCTGTTTTACAAGCTCCGTATTTACTCTATATGAAATATATGATGTAAATACTGTTTTTGCATGTCTTGGGAAAACTCATCAACATCCTGCCCTAGAAAAGCGTGACAGAGACTTGAAGAGAATTTTAAATGTAAAATATTTTTTTAAATGACTGAAGTCTTTTCCATGTCCTGACTTTAAAAGAGAAAAAGGTACCAAAAATCAGTGAAGGTGGGAGGATTTAAACACAGGCCTAGTGACTTCCTCAAGACTATAGGCATGTTCCTTTAATTTGATTGCTATTTCACAGATGGAGAAGAAAGCTTACGCCAAGAAAGATTACTTTGTCTGTCAAAGAATAAGGGTTATGAACGCCATCGCTTTGAGGAATCTTTTATTTCAAAGTATGCAATATATGCTTTAAGCCTACAAAGACTGAATAGAAACAGACTTCTTCCAAGCTTTCTTCCCACTGTTTTCATTCGTAGCGTGCATTACTTATTGCCTGTTACATTGTACAAGAAGAATTATTACCTGGTGGGTGACATTATCTGATTTTCATTGTTGTGGTTCATTGCTACGGTTCACTTTGTTTCCTTTCTTTCCCAGCTGCTGCAGAGATGTAAGAGGATTATAAGAACCTAAACCTGAATTCTCTTTCTGCCGGTGCTGTTTACACATTGACATCAAAGGAAACAGATTCAGCTCCCAAATATAACTGGTTTCTACTGTGAACTTTCTTCTCAGAGAGAAAAAAATAATTTCATTTACTGAACATGGAATGTCTGTTGATTATTTAGTACAAATTAGGTCCCTTCTAGCTGACTTACCTAAAGAAACCATCAAAACAGTCAGTTTGAGAGGACACTGAAAATTCTCTGTGGGCGTCAGATCCCTCCAAGGTAAGCCTTGTGGCTCTTTTTCAAGTTATGATCCAGCTGGAGGTAGCACGTGTCCAGTCAGCAAGAAGGGGCTGGACTCACAGATAAAGACCACTGGATAGATTCACTTGAGAGACATCATTTTCCCCTGAAATCGTTCTGTATTAGAGGGCATTGTATATATACCTTTGCACGTGTGGGGTTTTTGTGCATTCTACTGCTTTTGCTTAAATTTAAATGTCTTTCTTCCAACAGGGAGGCGCTTAGGTCAGATTTGAAAGTCAGACTGATTGTCCTACATTGATGCAAGTTGTATGGTTGTGTTAGCTACCTGGGGCTCCTAAGACTGCCAAAAGTAATAGCGTAACACAGGTTCTGATGTTTTTGAAGTAGTCTTCAGTAGCAGTTTCCAGGAGTCGAGTTGTTGAGGTCCAATTCTCACATTAATTTTTGCTGTTCTTTAAAACATCCCTTCTTGCTGTGACAAATAGACATGGTTTAAACTCAAAGGCCAAAGACATTAAATGCTGTTCTGGGAAGCACTGACAATATGCAGTAGAGGACTCGCAGCCTAAATCTACTCCCTCCCATGTTTAAATGCTGTGTAATATTTGTAAATTTCTAACTAAGTAAATAATAAAATATCTCAAAGAAGAAAATATATGCACAGTATCAAGAAAATACATGCACAGTCTAATAACTTTAAACATTTATGTATCAATATCAATGCAATTATTAGAATGAAGAATACAGTGAATAATATTCAAATAACAAACTATATATTAAATAGCAGCATGGGTCCTGAGAAAAAATGGCAAACTTCTTAAGTAACCTAGATTGTAATTAAATATCTTGCTGAATTACAGTCTTAAATACACATATATAATTTCATCAGCTTAGGTTTTTTTAACTTAATAGTTGAAAGGTGCATTTGCATTTACACAACTGATGTCTATGGTCCTGATCTTGCAATCAGATCCATATGTGAGGATAATTGATTTATAATTCTGGATAGAATCTGCCAACATGGATATTAGTGCAGGACCAAAACCTAAACTACTAAAGTATAGCTCTCCAGAAGATGACAACGAACCATCAAATAAATCTGTTGATAAAGCCCTGCGAGACCAAATTTGTTACAAAACTATTTAAAATACAATTTTGTTAATGAAGCTATAATGTAATCTAATATAATTACATGTAACATTGTAGAAAAAATGTAACTTAATATTACGTTATTGTACTAATTAATCGAAGCACACAACTTTAACTGGTATTTTTCATGGAAATCATTAGCTAAAATCAGGTTGCAGATCTGTGGAAAATGGTTTATTTCAGTAAAATATAAGCAGCTGTAATAGTGTATGATCTCCGGTTTCTAAAAAAAACCAGGCAGCAGTTAAGCCAGTCATAGCTGTCTAATTTTAAGAACTATATTACTTTTTGCAATAGACTTAATTTTAATACAAGGTGCTGTATCTGGTGAAGAACACTTCACACAATCGGAAAACACTGTTTCTGTTACAGATGCTCATCCATTTTTCCCAGAAGCCAGAAGTATTTTTCAGACTTCTGATACTACCTGAGAATAACTTTGACAGACTTGATTCTTAGAGAGAGGTGAGCCATAAGATAATTATTTTGTGTTAATTGGAAGAGGTTTTTTATCTTTGTGGGAAACCTGTTTTATTCAGTTTTCTCATGAAAGCACTTGTGCATTTGCAAGAACAAAGAGTGTTCAATATAAATTGGTATAGTCAAGGAAACAGGGTAGCTCCACAGCATTTATAGTTTTGAATAATATCTGGTATTAAGCAACATGACATAGGCATTTGTAGCCACTAATAGCATGCAAAGCTCCTCAAAGAGAAATTGTTGGAAAAGCTTTTAGGGAACAGAGGGAGGAGGAAACTGAGCCATTCACAAAGCACAGCAAGGCCAGTCTCATAATATTCCTTTAAAGTCAAAAAGAGACATTCACCTGAGGTTGAAATGTCTCAAAAAGAGACATTCATATGCTGAGGTTACATGGTAGAGTTGGCTCCCTGTTCTGAGTGGCCTCCTTTGGGAGCCTTCCCACGCAGACTGTTTGAAGAGCTACGGGAGATTTACCCCCCCTAGGCTGAAGCTGGCCTTTCTCTCCCATTGGGGGGTGGGGATTCTCCAAGCCTGCGGGCAGAAATTCAAAATTTAGCTTATTCACTTTCTTCAGTTTTTCAAATTCTCTTTAAACAATTTCATGTCTCTGTGTGTGTGTGCGCGTGCATGCGCGTGTTCAGCATCTTGCAACATCTTTCTGTAACCTTTTCTCCATGACAAAACCCCAAGTGTTCTGGGAAGTCTGAGGGCTAATATTACTAACTGTTTCTTTCCAAGGCTTCCTTCCACCCTCCTATAAGGAGGAACTGATTGACATAGTTATTTTAGAATACCTATTTTAGTAAATTTCCTGGTGCATACAAGGCCTTGGCTTCACAATAACAAAAAAATGAATGTTTCCCAATCTAAAATTCTTAACCTTTTAATCAGAGCTTGTCATGATTAAGTCTAAGCCACACTATAATAGAAACTAGAAAACCTACAGCAACTTTATGGCTTCAAATTATTGTAATTGAGAATATGCAAACATATGTAGAAACTTGTCTTAAAATGGTGACTGCTTTTGCCTGTGTATTGTTCTGCTTTAGATTCCCTTGCATCATGAAGTTTTGATTCAGTTTTCTCACTTACTCATAAACATTTCCAGGGTAAGGGAACCTTAAAAACAAAAAGGATCATAATATAGTTGACTGCATTCGATGCCACTACAGGATTAAGCAAAGCATGTTCCTCATTGTGCAAAGGTTATATAAACAGTCGTGTTTTGCGGTGTGCTCTGAAGGTCAGCAATGCATGTGCTGTTGAACTATTACAGAGAAAGTGAATTCCAAAGTTGAGAGCTTTCTTTTGAGGTTGTATACTTTGCTTGTTTTCTTTCTTTTGATGTGGCTGGGTAAGTATTTTGACTTCCTGCATAAGATAAAGTCACACAAAGGAACAGTGTATAATGCCAAGTTAGGACCACTGGAGACTTTGTTCCTCTCTCTGTAGAATATGTACAGGATATAGCAGCAGCACAAAGCTGGTATTTCTTAAGCTTGAGAGGGAGAAGGAGAACTATTTAAATTATTTGACCCTCCAACTGAAACTGTCACCTGTTTCTGCCATGCATTGTGGAAATCAAAATGATGTCAGCGATTCCTACCATTTTGGATAAGCTTCTGCTGTGGGTGCAGATTTAAAGAAGTAAAAATATCTGTCATAGTACTGGTGGTGTTATTTTCATGTTGATGCCCGCTCCAAAATCTGCAGGGCCAATTTGTTCCTTGTTTATCTATAATGCCAGTGTGGTGTTGCTGAAGATCCATTTTGGAAGTTGTTCTTTTAGAATACCTATTTTAGTAAATTTCCAAGCGCATACAAGGCCTTGAGTCCAGAATAATAAAAAAGAACGTTGCTTCACGCCCTGTTCAGGAAATGATAGTCATGTATCAGTCAGCTACAACTGTTTAATGTTGGCTTCAGCTTCTTTCTTCTAGCTTTCTTGCATTTTTCCTCCTGCCTTTTTTTTCCTTCTCTTTTCACTCACCCACTAAATATCTGCTAGGATAGGACTGATATATGTGTTCTTTTCACAGAGCTCAATGTTGTGACTACCCTCCATATAAAATATTAAATGTAGAAATTATTTAATAACTTCCATGCATAGACGTACCAGAGGAGTAAAGGATACCTTGTTACCTCAGTTGCATCTTCTGTGGTGGCAAGTTGTGTTTGCAGCACACATAGCACATGCAAATCCTACAGTTT